GATGTGACCTTGGGCAAGGCGTTGCCCCTCTGTGCCTCAGTTTCCCCTTCTGTCAAGCGGGGACAATGGTACTTGCAGCTGTGAAGCGCTTTGAACCCGCAGCCAGACGCCCAAAAGATTTTTATTCTCTCTCGCTGGCTCTAACGCCGATTGGCCCCTGGGAGCCCAGCAATAGCTTCAGACCAGAACCCCTTGCTCCATAGCCTTCCCCTGTGTTAGCTTATCTGCAGTCCAAGCTGAGGCTGAAATTTACACTCTCTGCTAATCCACCCAGCCCCCGAAATTAATTATAGCCTTGTCCATTAGAAATTACCATAACCTTTCTGGATATATGTTCTTATAGTGCAGGAGGGGGGCAAATTCCCACAGCGGCCTGTAATTGGAGTTGCTTTTTTCTAAACCCTTTCCTTCTTGTTTTTTTTTAAAAAGATGTGGACATTTCAACTCCTTAATCATGGATCCTGGTAGCTGGTAAAAAGTTTAAGAGGCCTGTAATTGCGTTCTGTCCTGGCAGTGTCGGTCTATGGGGGAGAAACGGTAGGTGTGTCTTATATGTCATGAATATTCAAGTTGGCATGTGTAGGGCCAAAGAGAGTGAGAAGGATGGGGTGTGGGGGGAGAAGCCGGGAATTAATCTGCCTTCTCTCTGGGAAACTGCAGTTCCTCTTGGCATGGGTGACGTGCAGAATGTCATGTGTGGGAGTGCGCTTGTGTGTGTCTGGGTGGGTGTGACCTCAAAGTATAGGCTGGGAGAATGCTTAGAGGTTCTTTTGGTTTTTGGAACCTGTTATTAAGAGCTTGTCTACAGGGGAAATGGACTGGAATAGCCCTTGCGGACTAAGCTGTTCGGCAAGAGCTACTCCAAAATAGCTCCCCGTATGGACGCTCTTCTGGAAAAATGAGTGCACTTGCAAAGCGATGTCATTATTCTGGAATAAAATCACCTTTATTCTGGAACGTTGTCGCCACACAGGGAACTAAGCTGGAATAGCCCCTGCAGTCCATTTCCTCCTGGAGACAAGCCCTTAAACCAATCAGGGCCTGGAAGGAGCATTTTGTTCTGCAGTCTTAGATCTTGATGGCTGCACAGTTATAGATAGATTAAACACCCCCACCTCCCGCTATCCCTCCTCATCCCCTCTCCTCCTTTCCATCTCCGTGTCCACCCCTGCCCCCAGGCCGTTCTCTTTTCACATCCCCTTCCATTTCTCTTTGCTCCTTCCCCAGCCCACTCTCCACTCCCATCCTTTCCTTATCTGGTTCTTTGCATGTATCCATTTCTCTCTTCCATTCCTGCACTAGCTTTAAGTCACAGAGAAGAGGTAATTTAGTAGCCCACTTGGCCCTCTCAAAGCTATTTGTGGGTCTTTGGTACCTTCCAGGACCTTCCCCCCAGTATTTCACGGTGTTGGCTGGGCTATGGAGCTTCATAACTACCTTGTAGATGTTCCATTGGGTTGAAAGGTGGCAGATGAAGGCCTCAGAATTGAAGGCTTCATCATTTTTAGATACCCTGGCCTGGTGGGCGTAGAAACCAGGACAGTAGGTGCCATACTGGGGCTGTTGCAGTATTGTGGCTGCTGGGCTCAGCAGTGGCTTTGATCAACGTGCTGAAACCTTGGGAAAAAACAGGCCCCTGATCTGAATGCCGAGCACTTGAAAGCCAGGCTTGAGAAACTCTTGCCCACAGGCACCTTTGTGGTGGCTGAGAGATTAGCCCCCCGAGGGGGAGTCATGCGGGAAAGGGCATTAAAAAAGGCCAAGCTATTAAAGAGTAAGAAGGGGGCTCCTCAACCATCCCGATGAGCAGTGCCCTGTGGAAGGCCTAGGTTTGATATTTCCCAGCCCAGCCCCTGGCCGGCAGGAGTTTGGAGAGCTATGGAGACAGCCCGTTCAGCCTCAGGCCAGGAGGGACCTTAGTGACCCCTCAGATTGATTATGCACGTCAGTGCTCCCCAAGCGACTCTAGATGCCATCTGGCCCACCTTGGCACTTATGCAGCATGTCCATACATTTGAAGCACACGACAGACCTTCAAGGTTAGGGGCCACATCCTGGAGTCGCTCCACTGAAATTGATGGAGCTACACCAACTCACACCAGGGGAGCATCTAACTCAGCATTTTCACTAGTGGCTACTGATTTGTATTTATTTATTGTTTCTGCTTTTGGCCATGTGGCTGCATGTAATTAACCCTCACAAATCCCTGTGTGTGTAACAGTGCGGACTCACTGGCACAGTGCCTCCTGCTGGTTGCCTTGGGAATTAGCCCCTCAGCCTCAGAGCGCCCTCTGCTGGCCGGTATCTCGCCTGCCACAGGCCCCATGTCCCTCCTGGACCCCCAGTGCCCCTTACCTTGGGGTGCTGCCCCCCAGCAGTGCCCCCACACGCTGGGGCTCCCTTTCCAGGGGAACCCCCTCCCCCTATGCCCACCTTGCCTCAGTGGCTACTGCCAGTCATCATCTAGCCCCCCCTTTCTCTGGCGCAGACTGCAGTCTGTCATGGCCATTCATCACTGGCAAGGGGGTTGGACCAACTGCCTCTGCCTCTGCCTATCCCTGGGCTGCACCTCTGCTGCTCCAGTACCTGCTTAGGCCTTTAACAAGGCCTCAGCCTGGGGAGTTGCCAGGCTGGAGTGCCCCAGCTCCTCTTGCCCTTCCCCAGCACTGCTCTGCCCCAGGCACCCTGTGCTCCCAGGCAGCCAGGTCCGTCCCACTCCAAGGCTGGAGTAAGAGTGACCCAGCTACTCCCTGAGCCCTTATATCAGGGCCAGCTGTGGCCTGATTGGGTTTGGCCCTAGCTGTGACCCCTTCCCCAACCAGCCTACCTTTTCCCCCAGGAGCAGGGTAACTGCCCAGCTACAGTGGGGTGTGTGTGTGTGTGTGTCATTATTATTATCCCCATTTTACAGATAGGGAAACTGAGGGCACCAAGTAAGAGGAAGTGATTTGCCTAGGGTTACGCAGCAAGTTGGGGGCAGAGCTGGGATAAGGACTCAGGACCCCCTGTCTCCCAGCCCACACATCACTCCTCCGCTCCTTGCTTTCTGTTTGTGAAGTGTTTTGAGAGCCCCCAGGATGAAAGGACCTGACAGACTGCACCCCGGCATGCGTATCATTAAAAGGTAGGCTGTACACTGACTGGGTATGTACCGCAGCATAAGGAAAGCCAACACAGGACCCTGCCAAATCCTCATCGGTCCAAAGACATGTCCCTGCGCTGCGTCCTTAACTCACCCCCTTGCCCTTCTCCTCTGAACGACAGCTGCGTGAGGAGTGGCTGCTTTGACAGCCCAGACTTGGGGTTTCCTGCCTTTGGCGGAGGCCCTGTGGTCCTACCAGTGAAATGTTGGAGGGGGAACTTGTCCTTTATTTACCACGCTTCCATCTCCCCCGCTACTAATGTCCCTGCACCCCGGCAACATGTTCAGGGGAGCAGAGCTTGGCACAGTCCCTGGCGAGCTCTGAGGGGAGAGAGAGGCACCCTGCCCAAGCTGACCCAAAACCTCTCCAAAGGGGGTTCAGTGTTGGCCTGTTGATATTCAAGGGGGAATCCGTACCACTGAGGCCTGGAGAGACCATTCTATGGGGAACCTGAGGGCAGCACCGATGCCTTCAGCAACTTCCCACTGGGCTTGGATATGTCTGCGAGAAATTGCTTGCCAGACCCATGGGCATCTCTCTCCCTCCTTCCCCATCTCTGCCCCTTAGAAACCCACCATCTTTTATCAAACCAGCCCTTTCATGTCCCCTCCACCGCCCTCAGCCAGCGCGGCTCTGCCGGAGAGAGCCGGCTTGCTCCCATTGTGCTATCTTTGGGTCCTAAATTAAAATTTATGACATCTTGAAATGAGCAGTGAGGGTAATTTTGCTTCTTAGCGAAGATGCTAATGAGTCCCCTTAATGGCGTGAATAAGGAGTTGACGGGTCGTGTGTCACTTTGCGCAGCCCGCGCCGGTGGTGTAATGGCCGCGGTAAGTGTCTGTAATTATACCCTGTCTCGCTGTATTTTGGCAGCCGTGGTGGGAGAACAGGCGGCTCAGTCACATACAAGGGAGAAGGGGGAAGGGGAGAGAGAGAAATCCCAGAGACCCCTGTGCTTCTCCCTGGTCTCTGGGTCCGTCCCTCGGTCCTTGCGTCTCTTTGATGCAGCAGGCTTTCTGGGCTTGGCTGGCAGCGTGGAAATGCCCCCTTGCGTCTGTTCTAAAGCGCAAGCTGGCTGAAGATTGGTTGGTTTGTTTTTTCACAAGGTCCCTCCACCCCCTGCTTCATCATAGCTCAGGCTGGCACTGTTTGCCACACAGTAGAGGCAGGAGATGGCAAAGACCTGTCAGTTCAGTGAGTGCCGGGCAGGAAACAATCTCCAGGTGTGGGGGCCAGGGATGAAGTAATGGAGAGCCCAGAATGAGCACAGCTTCCCCATCGCTGCTCAAAACAGAGCGGGAGATGTCCATCCCCACTTGGCTTGGGTAAGCAGCACATGCCCCCTTCTCTCCCTGGCCTGGGTTTTGCCCCACAGCTTCCTCTCGATTACTGATGCAGCAACTGCTTCCCTGCTGTTCAGTCTACTTTAACCCACGGGACAGGAGGTATCAGCCACGTGAATTGATGCTGGCTGGGCGGTTGAGTTCATTCCCGGATTGATTCCGATGACCGACGGGGTTTCTCCAGGGAAACGTCTGACCCTTGATCTCAGCCGGAAAAGCCCTGAATTTACCCCTGGGATTCTTGAGTTATTTGTTGTGCTACTGAAACATTTCACAGGGAGGCAACTGTGGTAAAGGGGAGAAATCTGCCCTGTTTACTCCCCGACATACGGAACAGGTGAGTGTGACCGGGGCAGGAGGTGTCTGCCAGTGCATTTCATCCCAACTCCCACCGATTCCTTCCACCCAGCTCCTTGGCCCTTGTGCCTGTTCACAAAGCCCAGCATGAGTACTAAGTAGGGTGACCAGACAGCAAATGTGAAAAATCGGGACGGGGGTGGGGGTGGGGGGGTAATAGGAGCCTATATAAGAAAAAGACCCAAAAATCGGGACTGTCCCTATAAAATCGGGACATCTGGTCACCCTAGTATTAAGGGCACATGCACACTCAGCGTTACCGTCACTACTCCCACCATGTAAGGCTCGATTTTCAACAGACCTCAATCCCTATGTGCCGAGCTCGGTAGAAAATCTGTCGCTCAGGGTGTGTCTACGCAAGGAGTTCATCAGGAATAATCTGCTTCAAATTCACACCCTCATTTATTCCAGAATAGTTTCATGTGTAGACAAGCCACTAGTCTGGGGAGGCCCAGCTTTGCCAGGGGTGGCAATTCAGAGCAGGGTTAGATGACATGATTAAAATGCCAGACACGGTTGCGTCTACTGTCCGTAGCAACTCTGCTAGACCCACACTGGGGAAGCGCTAGTGTGGACTACAAACTCTTTTGGGGCAGGGGCTGTCTCTTTGTTCCGTGTTTGTACAGCACCCAGCATGATAGGTCCACGGCTGTGGCTCCGAAGCACTACTGCAAAACACATAATTAATTAACAGGTCAGGCCCAAGTAGCTAGAACACACAGGAATTGACTCAGTTTTAGTTGGCTCTCCAGGCAGTCAGGAGTTTGGCATAGAAGGGCGTCCAGCATGGGAGGGATTTGCAATCCCTTTGCTGTGTGGAGTGTATTACACAGAATTGTATTTACACAAAGTCAAGTGATATATAGTGAGACTTACAGGCTTTAAGGTCAGAAGGGACCATTGTGATCATCTAGTCTGACCTCCTGCACGTTGCAAGCCACAGAATCCCATCCACCCATCCTGTAATAGACCCCTAACCTCTGGCTGAGTTACTGAAGTCCTCAAATCTTGATTTAAAGACTTCAAGTTACAGAGAATCCACCATTTACACTAGTATTTGACCAACCTGGCTGGGTTTTTTTTATGGATTTGCCAGTTGCCAGAAAAATAATTTAATCAGCTGTTTTTTGTTTTATGTGAGTCTAAAGATTTGCATTATTAGCACAATCCACTGGGATATCTAATGTTAAAAGTTTTGGTGTCCAAGATAAAGATACTGCAGTGTTCCCACTTCCGCAGTTTTAAGCGATAACAGATCAAAACTGTTGAAAACACAGCAGCTGTCTGCCCCCCACCAAACCTTTGGAATGACTGGAGGAATGGCCTCAGTATTGAAGTGGTCAAATGTGAGCTTTGCATTAGATGCAACCTCAGCTATTCCTGTCTGGAATTCTATGATGTTGCCGTTAAAAATAAGAAATTGCTAGAAATGACAAAATCAAACGGCAAATACAAATTAAAGAAATAGACTCAGTGGCTTCTTTTTAATATATAAAGTTCCAAAATGCTCACATTCATGTATATAGTTAAAATATAGATTCAATGCAGTCTGGGGGGGAAATAATCTCAGTGAAGACGGACACAAACAAAGCCGCTTGGAGAACACGCCCAAGGTAAGAAAATGATGTTATCAATCTTATCTGTATGTTATCTCTCTAGATACTATAAGTGGCTGTTGAAGGGGGGGGTTGCAAAGTTGCCTTGTGGTTAGGAGTTGGGGTTGTGGCTGGCTTGCCTTGTCGGGGGTGGGGGGGTGCCAGTGTTTTTTTTTTTTTTTTTTTGCATTACCCTGCCAGAGTCCCAGGGAGTACAATACCACAAAGCAGGCATGATAGAAACCAGCACAGACATGGAAAAAGAGCAATCAGGTCCCACCTCGTCCATGTCAATCCAAGATTGCTCCCTTAGGGTTTGTGCAGCCTGATTTTAGATTTCCTGAGCAGCTCCCACCCATTCCCGTGCCTATGAAGCCCTGGCCTGGTGCATCTCACTGTTAGGACGTTTTCTCTCAGTCTCACAGTATTGCCAATGCCAAGCATTCAAAACCCATGAGCCGGGCTCCCCCAGAATCATGAAATTAAAAAAAAAAGAATGTTGGGTTCTTTTCCTTTGCCTCCTGTTTTCTGAGCCTTTGAGCTGCACTCGGGTGCTATTTTCAAGCTCTTCTCTGCTGTGGTGAGGGCTAGAAACTTACCTTTTCCCCTTTTAACAAAAGCTGAAATTCTCAACTGACTCCAGGAGCTGGGGCTTTAACCAAACTACCAAATATTCTGAGACTCGCTATAAAAGCATTAGAGTTGGCAGCATTGTGTTGGGGTCTAGTCCTGTCCAGAGCAGGTACAGAATGAAGGCATCAGGAGCCAGTGCAGGTTAGGGAAGCCCCAGCTGACAGTAACCTCAATAGACCATTCCCACTTGGCTCAGAGGTTTCCCCTGGAGTGCCTCTTATGAGAGGAATGTAAAAAGTCCACAGTCTGCGTAAATCCACCTCGCATAGTGGGCTGAGCAGAGGCATTGTGATTTGGGCCTGCAGGGCAATGCTGAGTCATGGCCGTGTAGCCTGCTCTTTAGGAACCTAAATACCTTTGAGAAGGGCCAGATTTAGGGGTAGGCCACCCAGGTGATCGCTTGGGGTGCCAGGCTTGGGGGGGGGGGCGCTGGGCTCGGTGGGCTGGTTTTTTTTTTTCTGTTAGCTACAAAAGGGAAAAGAGAACATTTGAAGCTCCTAGAAAGTTGTCAGTTAAGCCCTCGTGGGTGGATAAGGGGTGGGACATCACCAGTCCATCAGTGAGATAAAAACACAAATTTACAGATCCTAGTGTGCAAATTTACCATCTTATGCGACAGGGATAAATCATGCATGCAAATTGTGCATCAAAGTCGAGAAATGGGCCACAAATGCAATAAAAAATCAGGTATTCAAACGGGTGCAGGAACAGGTTTTATAGTGGGGGGGCTGAGAGCCATTGAAACAAACTGTAAACCCTGCATGTGATGGAAACCACTTCAAGCCAGGGGGTGCAGCAGCACCCCTAGTTCCAGCACCTCTGTAAAAGTCTAACAAATGGAGTGGGGGCTAGCCTTTGCTCTAGCCTTTGAAGATTTGGTCTGTCGTGTTTTACACCCATTTGCACATGACTCTACAGGGTGCAAACCAGAGCAGAATTGGGCCCATTAATTTCCTCCTTATTGTTAATGAATGGACCTACATTCTCTCCAGTGTGACGCCCGCCCGGATAAGTTTGTAAGAGGCCTTATTATTCGTCTTTACCCCTCAAGTTAACGTTCGCTCATCCTGCCATGTTTGGGTGCCCTTATCTTTCTCTCCCTGCATCTCTTAGTAGATTTTGTGGTGGCTTTCAACTTCCTTATTATTTAGATGCTGCAGGTAAGAGCTTGAGGGCCCCATTGTGCTGGGCCTGGCACAAACACAGAGTGTGAGACAGCCCCTGCCCTGAAGAGCTTACAAACCAAACAGGCCCATAAAGGGGGAGAGATGGGAAGTACGATTATCCCCGTTTTACAAATGGGAAACGGAGTCACAGAGCGATCGCATGCCTGTGTGTGACAGCTGCCATCGGGGCCAACGTGCCAGAGACTGGCAAGTGTGAGTCTTCCCAGCCTGTGCTGCCAAGCCAGGCCCTGGAGCTGGGAGCTATAAGCGGCTCCCATCCTCCGTGGATCAGGCACAGAGGGGGAGAGATGACACATGGTAACCCAGGGGTTACACCAGGAAGGTGTGACAGAGCCAGGATTCAGATCTCCCAAGTCCCAGTCTAGGGCCTTCACCGTGAGACCATCCCCAGGACTGGCTCTGAGGTTAAAGATGGAAGGAAGTCCTATTCACTGACTCCTGCACCTCCTTTGGGTGCTCTCCTTGATGATCGCAGCATAGACCAGACCAGGCCTAATGCAGTGCCTTCTGCAAAGGCCCAGCTCAGAGTGGCCTGGGGCAGTTTTCCTTGGCTCTGTGTCTTATGCTATTGTACCATGAATTTTGTGCATCTGGGGGCAAGGGAATCCTGTGACACAGAAATTTTGCTCAGACCTTCGCCTCTTTTTCCCAAGGACATGTCTCTTTGTTGCAGTGTTCCCTTTAGGCACCCGTTACGCTCTCTTCCTTGTACATCCCTGCGCTTTGGAGACGGAAGCCAGCGTTCCCCGTGTTACGAGTGAGTACCATGGTTTTATGCCCCACCCAGTGCTGAAATGTGGCGTCCAGTGTGCAATAGTTCAGAAAATCATTCAAGAGTGCCTGTAGGGAAAACCACTAACACCCCCCATAGCAGACTGAGTGGTCCAGTGAAGGGCACTAGGTTAAGATTGAAGAGGCCTGGGTTTAATTTCCAGATACACCACAGACTGTCTCGGGCAACTCCCTTAGGCCCAGTTCCTCAAAGGCTTTTAGGTGCCTCACTCCCATTGATTTCACATCTCTTTGCCTCAGTTTCCCATCTGTACAGCGGGGATAGTAGCACTGCCCTACCACACAGGGGCTGTGAAGTTAAATACAATGAAAAGAGTGAGATGCTCAGATACTGTGCTGATGAGGGTCAGATAAGTACCTGAGACTGACTGATAGCCTGACCGTGGCTCACAGACCTCCCCCATGCGATTCTGCAAAGGCGTGCAGAATTGTAGCTTGCCGTGCTCCAGGACTGAGGGCTGCAATTAGACCAAGACAGAACAGTTCACGATAGACCCTGGGTACTGCTCAGGTCAAGTTGGACCATCACCTGGCACTTCTAAGACCAAGGAAGCTCCATCGATGCATGGAAATCCTCTTTTGCACGTGCCGGACCTATGACTTACTTCTCTTGGGTGCTAACATCTCCGGGCAGCTATGATCTGCTTTATGCTGATTTATGTGGAACCCACTTGTTCTCCTGGCAAGTTGCCATGGGTAAAGTTTGGACAACCCTCTTTCCCTCCTTTCCGTGTTACTAAATTGCCCATGACATCCTTTGGCTGGGTGCTAGCATCCCTGGGCAGCTGTGCTCTGGGTTATGCCAATTAAGTACTGCCCTTGGCGAGTAGCCAATGTGTCATCTTGGCCAGGCAGTGTCTAGTCACCCTCACCTCCCCTGGATCTAAATTCAACAAGCCGAGATCTTACTGGGCTGATGACGAGTGTCAAAATCAGCCTGCTAATTCCACCTGCCGTGGGGAAAAACCGCCATCAAGGGAAGCCCCCAGAGATCAGCCACCTCCAAAAGAACTTCCCGCGGAATCAGTGAAAGTGTCTATTACAGAGACATAAGCAGCAGTGTTTTAAAGGACAATATCAATAATCTGCAAAGAGCTCTTTGCGTGCTCAGACTGGGGCTGGCAAGCAGATTGCCGGAGAGATCACGACCACTGAAATATTGAAGTACTTGCATAGAAACTGCTCTTTCAAGTTTTTTTTGACAAGGGTACTAATTAAATCTTAATTGACACTGCACTAATTAGCTTCTTAATTACATGGAACCACATAATTAGCAGCACACTCTGCGCTAATTGTTAATTAGGAAAACCAGCCCCCCTGCCTCCCCTTGTCTCTTTTAACTAAAGAGCCTCTTGAATAGAGAGGAGATGGGAACAACAGAGCTGGTAAATCCCCCTTCAGAAGGGCCTGCTGCCCCAGGAGAGAGTGACTGCTCATTCTGCACACAGGGGCTGTGGATGTGTGGGCTCCAGGTGTGGAGGCTTTTGGGAGGGGGTCGCAAAGGGTAACCCCCCATCAAAAGATAGGCAGGGGCAGGAATGGGTGATGTTTAATGAGACCCTAGGGTGAAAGGTGTTCTGGATCTAAGCGCAAAGTGTTCATTCATGATGATTAATTATTCGTATTCAGCAAAGCAAAGGAATCCCCGGTCTGGAAAGCTTATGAATGAACTAGTGGGCACCAGATCATTCAACCCTTCTTGTGCCCAGCGGCTCAACCCCGTCTGTGCCAGTCTCTGCTCTCGAGCTCTACCAGGACATGGCTGATTAACCCCATGCATCCCAGGCTGTTGACTGTTCTTGCCCATCTAATGCTGGGCAGTTTTCACTCCCCATGACGAGCTGTTAAATGGCACTGTGCCATAGCCATACAGACCTTCCCTGAGTGCTAACCCTTTCTGTGCTGGACTGCATAGCTGTGCCCCATGGCAGGCAATTTAATACTCCCGCAAGAAGCCAGTGATGCGCCCTATCACTCCTGCCTTAACCCCCTCTGTGCCAGGCTGGAATATTCAGCTTTCCCCGCACACCCCAGGAGATGTTTACCCGGTTCGATGATTACTCCCTTTAAATTGCCAGGCCAGGTCTGTAGCTGGGGCAGTGGTTTGTAATCTGTTGTAGGTCCACCAGCTGAGGAACTGGGCTCATGATCTTGTGGAGTAAAAGCAGCACCTTTTGTGCAGCTCATTGCAACTCTGCTAGCAGGGAGTCACAAATGCACAAGCCCTGTATTTACAGTGTACCAGGCCCAGCTATTGATTCTGCTTCTGACCTTCCCCTCGAAAAATACCCTTTTGCTTTCAACTGTCTAGTGCTTAGTCATGGAAGGGGAGTTTTTCTAAAAAAGTTCGATGCAACTCAGCCAAGTCATTTTCGAGTGACACGGCTGCCTCACCCTGCCTCGTTTTTCTGATTTGTTTTTTATTCCTGTTCCGTTGCAGACTCCCAGCTGGCTCATGTTGCACATCTGCATTCAGTCTCGTTTGGAGGCGTTAGCCCAGAGTGGGCATCCCGCCGAGTTTCCAGGTGTGAAAAAACACAGGAGTTGCAGTTTTTCAGCCGTGATTCAGGTTGGTTGAACCCTTTTATCCGGTGCACATTGTGTTCTGGGGCTTGTCCAGAGAAGGGGAATTTGCACTGTTGTCGCTACAGTAATGCAAACCCCTAATGTAGACACACTGTAGCAGTGGCAAATGAGGCTTGGGCCAGCGTGGAAAGTCCTGTCATACACCAGGATTGTCAGAGAATCCTAGCAATGTAGGGCTGGAAGGGACCTCAAGGCATCATCTAGTCCAGCTTCCCATGCCAAGGCAGGATTAAGTAAACCTAGGCCATCCCTGACAGATGTTTGTCCGTGTTCTTAAAATCCTCCAGTGATGGGGATTCCAGCAACACTGGTGGATTTGCACTGGTTATATTTACACCAGTGCAACCCCACCTCCGCTATAGTCAGAGCATAATTCTCTCCCTCTCTCTTTACACTGTTTCTCCTTCTATTTCTGACTTGTCCACTCCTTCAGTTTTAAATACGCATTTCTCTTCCTTCCAGCCTCTTTTCATTCTGCTTCTTCCCTTTATTTCAGTGCTGATTTCCCTCTCTTCCTCATCCCCTTCTTTCTTGCTCCCTCTCCCTCTTTCAGCCAAACTGTTGACCTGGAATCCTCTTTCTGCTGCCAATGCATTAATGTGTTTTCTTAAATGGTAAGTCTCTGAGGTCTAAGCCACATGGGGCATTGTAGTTTGCGTGTTTGCTTCTCAGCATTGCAAGAGCAGGAGCGTGCTTACAGCTAGATGTACACACTGGGGTGTGTGTCTGCATGGGGGAGGGGTGCTCACATCAAGATATGCGTGTGCTAGCTGCACTCTTTCGCACAATGTGTGTAGTTGCATGTGGCATTCACATGGGTGTGCCTTTTAATCATCCTGTGTACACTGGCCTGTACGGTGTTAGAGCTAATGCAAGGTAGGAGAGCCCTGCGTAAGTACACAGACAGTATTAAGTGATCCTCTGAGTTTGTTGCTGCATAGGAATGTTACACCTGAAGCATGCGACTGGTGTTGCCTGGGTGCATTTATACCAGCATACGCTGCACGGCTGGTGCCAGGTTCTCAGCTGGCAGAAATCAGCAGAGCTCCATCGAAGTCCACAAAGCTATGCCAATTTACCCCAGCTGAGGATCTGGCTCTTAATATTTTCATCAGTACGCATGACACCATAAATTGATCTGTACATCTCTGCATGTGCTGTTTGATAGAGCAGTGGTTTTCCACCTGGGGTCCGCAGACTATGTCTAAGGGGTCCGCGCAGGGTTGTCGTTACCCTAGAACAGTTTGGTTGTCAACCTGTGGTCCGTGGACTCCCTGCAGACTATGTCTAAGATTTCCACAGGGGTCTGCACCTGCATTCGAAATTGTTTCGGGTCTGCAAATGAAAAGAGGTTGAAAACCGCTGGGGTAGAGCATTGTGTGCCACTGTGTGCATATGTCCATGCATTGTGGGGTTTTTTTTTCCCTTTTGTTGGTTTTGCGCCTGTGTTTCTCAGTGGTGGTATTTTGCTTATGTGTTGGTGTGTACATATATGGGGTGGATTTTGCATGTGTTGGCATGATATGCACACATGTTGGTTTTTTGTGGGTGTATAGGCCCATACGTTGGGGTTCACCCCTGTGTTGGTATGTTTGTGGATTGTGGAGGTGTGTGTCTGTGCTAAACAGCTGTTACCTTGTTTTGATGTGTCCTGATGCCTGTGTGTTTGTGTACTGATGTGTGCCTAAGTGCTTATGCTGAATTGTGTCCATATGCTGCTAGGTTAGCTTGTGGCCCTGTGCTGGTGTGTTAGATTGTGCACATGTATTGACACGTGCCTATGCTGAATTGTGCTGGTGTTTTAGGGCTTGTACACACTAGCGCTCACTCTGGTGGAAAAGCCACCCCCATGAGCAATGTAAGTTACACCGGCGGGAGAAGCTCTCTGGTGTATGGCACCACGTGGCCATCAAGCAATCTCTCAGCAAGGACTGTGAGACACATCAGGATCTTTGCCCAAAGGATAAGGCTCTGACCCAGTATTATCTGACTGCACATTTTACAGCAGCGGTAGCTGCTATGACAAACAAATGTGTGGAATGCAGCCTTCAGCTCCACCAAGAAGCTACCATAAATCGCATGGCTGCTGCTGAAACTGCTGTCCAAGATATAATAAAAGCCGTGACTGTAAGAATGACAAATCCTTTGAGCACTGACCCTGGAACAAACCCATACAACCAACAGCAACATCTACTATGCCCCCACCTGAAACTGCAGAAAGTTTGTGCATGATAGGAGAGATTGGCACACAAGAAATAAAGCCGTTTGTAACCAGTAGGTTACAAAGGGGAGAGCTAGACCTCTTTTACCCCATAAAAAGGCACAATCTGAAATCATTTGGTAATCTCAACAAACCAGTCGAACAAAAGAAGACACAGACAACACAAGCAATAACTACTGTCCGCCAGATATCCAGCAAGCTGACAGTTATTGACCAGACTTGTTGATATCCAGGGACTGATGAAGTATGAGCTGGCACCTGTCCCATTTTCCTTCTTCAACTTAGATGGATCTCTAAGAAAGACCCAAAAGAGCAACACACTGTCTTGGCTGGAGAAAAATCTGTCAATGGTTGAGCTACAAGAGCCCCAGGAGCCAAAAGACACAGTCAGAGACAAAAAGACACTTTGTAAAGATTGGAAGTCAAATCCTACTGAGGAAAATAGAAAGGAACACAGACTCTGGCAAGTCAAGTGTGAAGTATAATTAGGCAGGCTGAAAAAGAATTTGAAGAGCAACTAGCAAAAGACAGAAACAAATGGGAATTTTTTTTTAAGTGCATCAGAAGCAGGAAGCCTGCCAAACAATCAGTGGGGCCAGTGGACGATCGAGGTGCTAAAGGAGCACTCAAGGAAGAAAAAACAGTAGCGGAGAAACTAAATGAATTCTTTGCATCGGTTTTCACTGCCGAGGATGTGAGGGAGACTCCCACCCCTGAGCCATTCTTTTTAGGTCAAATCTGAGGAACTGTCCCAGGTTGAAGTGTCAGTAGAAGAGGTTTTGGAACAAAATGATAAATTAAAGAGTAAGAAGTGCCCAGGATCAGATGGCATTCACCGAAGAGTTCTGAAGGAATTCAAATATGAAATTGCAACACTACTAACTGTAGTATGTAACCTACTGCTTAAATCAGCCTCTGTACCAGATGACTGGCAGATTTTTTTTTTGAAAAAAGGCTCCAGAGCTGATCCTGGCAATTGAAGGCCAGGAAGCCCAACTTCAGTACCAGGCAAACTGGTTGCAACTGTAGTAAAGAACAGAATTATCAGACACGTAGATGAATTCAGTACATTGGGGAAGAGCCAACATGGGTTTTGTAAAGGAAAATCATGCCTCACCAGTGTATTAGAATTCTTTGAGGGGGTTGCAGACATATGGACAACAGTGATTCAGTGGATATAATTTACTTGGACTTTCAGAAAGCCTTTGACAAGGTTCCTCACCACAGGCTCTTAGGCAAAGTAAGTAGTCATGGGATAAGAGGGAAGGTCCTCTCATAGATAGGAATCAATGGTCACTTTTCACAGTGGAAAGAGGTAAATAGGGGGTTCCCCCAAGGATTTGCACTGGGATCAGTGCTATTCAACATATTCATAAATGATCTGGAAAAAGGGGTAAACAGTGAGGTGGCAAAGTTTGCAGACGATACAAAAGTACTCAAGATAGTTAAGTCCAAAGCTGACTGTGAAATGTTACAAAGGGATCTCACAAAAGAGGGGGACTGGGCAACAAAATGATAGATGAAATTCAATGTTGATAAATGCAAAGTAATGCACACTGGAAAACATAATTCCAACGATCCATACAAAATGATGGGGTGTAAATTACCTGTTGCCACTCAAGAAAGAGATCTTGGAATCACTGTGTATAGTTTTCCTGAAAACAGCTGCTCCATCTGCAGCAGTAGTCAAAAAAGTGAAATAAGGATTATTTACCTCTTCACATAACACAAGAACCAGGAGTCACCCAATGAAATTAATAGGCAGCAGGTTTAAAACAAACAAAAGGAAGTATTTTCTTCACACAATGCAGTCAACCAGTGGAACTGCTTGCCAGGGGATGTTGTGATGGCCAAAAGTTGTCGGCGATTGGTCGAGGATGATCTCTTTCACAGGTTTTATTTTTCATGGGTCCTTTGGTGACTGAGGAGTCCGATCCTTGAGCCACAGGCTTGTTGGCAGACATTACAGGTGGTGTTGGAAGACAGGGTTGGGCCATGATTGCTGCGTGACAGTTATCTGTCCTTTCTTTTCTGGTGTTTTTCTGCGACCAGGGCAAGGCGATTTTCCTCAAAGGTGGACGTTTCCTCTCTGACAAGTCTTCGCCAGTTACCCCTATCCTGGCCTGCTGTCTCCCAGTGTGTGGTGTTGATGCCACATCTCTTGATGTTTATCTTGAGGGTGTCTTTTGGCCTCCCCTTTCCTTTCTCCTTTGGTGAGTTGGGCATACAGCAGTTGTCTTGGTGGGCGTACATCAGGCATGCACACACAGTGCCCGCTCCACTTCAGCTGGTGCTGGATAATCAGGCCCTCAACACTGAAGATGTTGGCCTCTGTGAGGACACTGACGTTAGTGCGGTGATCCTCCCACTTTATGTTGAGGATCTTCCAAAGAAAGTGCTGGTTATGGCATTCCTGGTTTTATAGCTCACCCAAGTCTCACGTCCAAAGAGAAGAGTTGGGGTTACCACCACCTTATCAACTAAACTAAAAGTCTAGTGTGTGTTCTGATGTTGTGATTGTTGAAGGCTTGGTGAGACAGTCTGCCAAAGGCAAGGCTGGCACAACGAATTCTGTGCTGAATCTCGACGTCTGTGTCTGCCCTCTGTGAGAGACGATTGCCAAGATAGGCAGAGTATTCTACATTTTCCAGTCCTTCTCTGTCAATGTAGATCTTCCTTGCTGGGTCTGATGACTGACCAGGAGCTGGCTAGTGGAGATCTTTTGTTTTGCCGATGTTCAGAGTTAGTCCTAGGCTTTTGTA